TCTCTGCAAGAATCATTTAAATGTTATAAGAATCATTTAAATGTTTTAGAAAAGCCTCTGAAATTTTGATCTCAGTTAAAATTCCATCCACGTTCTATTTGAGTAGATCCAGTTTGTTATCTTTTAAAGAGTCATCAAGAGTTGCTGAAGGATGCCCAGGACCAAACCAGGGACGGGCGGACCTGCATTACCACCATTTGTCCACCAGCCAGATCTGAAATATCATGGCTGGCATGTACACATAAGGCACTATCTGGCATTGAAATTGGAACTCAAAAGAACTGTTGACCCAGAAAGGAACTCACTACAGACTGATTCATTTGCCTCTCAGCATAAGCATTATGGCTTGTTGCAGTTTAGGTTCTTACAAGGGTATTTCTTGGATCACATGATCTCACACATCTAGAGGAAATAATGAACAACACAAACAGACCCAGAGAAAGAGAACCAGCAATCAGACTCTCAAACCTCAGAGTGAAAGTAAGGGAGGATGGGGGTAAGGGGAAGAGATCAACCAAAGGACTTGTGTGCATACATATGGGCCTAGCCAGTGGCCATGGACAACGGGGGTTGGGGCGGGTGCATATCTAGGGAGGGGTTTGGTATGGGAATGGGGGAATAAGGACAATTATATGAGAACATAATCAATAAAATAAATAAATAAATAAATAAATAAATAAATAAATAAATAAATAAATCGTCATCAAAGTAAGAGTCTAGAAACTTGGATATCTTGTCTTGTAATGGATGGATTAATTGTTTTATTCTGTTTATTATAAATAAAGAGGTGATATTATAGCTGCAAAGAATTCCTTTTTAGGTTATGTGGATCCTTTAGCTAATACTGAATGATGCAAAATATTAATATAGGATTGATCTTTTAAAAAAAATTAATATACTGTATTTACACTCAAGCTGGCGTTTGAGAGTAATGCTTGAGAATGTGATGCAGAATCCCCTCATAGATAATTCTTATTCTAAAGAGATATTTCAGTACTCCAGTTTGCATAAGACAAATTCTTTTATACCACTTTGTAGTCTATTGCAAGTGTGTCAGGGTATATTCAATCATGTAGACTGAGTCTTCCCACGAATTTCAAAGAACGATTTAGGACTTTTCACTGCCAACTTAAATTAGCAGTGTAAGTTCCTACCCCAATGGAGTTTGATTTTCTCTTCAGTTAAGTGATCAAAGTCAAATCATTGAAGCCTATGTGTCATACACTAGATTCTCAGAAGTTCTGAGTTGGCCATTCTTCATAGTTTTAATCAAAGCAAAAAATAGCATTTCCATTTTTGTCATCTTCATTTTCAATTGTTTGTCATATTATTCGATTCAGAGTCACCCTGAGTGGTTACACATCAGTAGAATCTGTCTAACCTTTCTCAAAAAGCTGTCCCTGCCAGAACAGGGGCCCATTTCTATAGTAAGTGGCATACCACCTAAATACATAAACATTAGAATCCTGTTTTACCAGACTACTTAAAACCAGAAGGCATCATGGCAGGAAAATTTGTGTAATATGGCATTTTTACACAGAGATACTGACTCGGTGCAGCTTCCTGTCACTCTCCTGATCCTCAGTCCCTTTGATGTGCTGTGGGTTTCCTCATTGCTTCCTTACCTCTCCCCACATATGCACACATATAATCACCACCAACACCCTTTGTACCTGTTCTGCCTTTGTTCTACTTGCAGGGTATTCTTCCATTTCCTCAATTAGCTTTATTAACCAGGAGACATGGATGAGTAGGGATAGGGAATGCAAGTACTCTCATGCCCTGTTTGTATGTGTCTATGACATATAGCTGCAAAAACCAGCAGACTTTTACATGGCCATTCAGCCATGCTGACCTTCACATTGAGATTGTACTGCTGATCTTTGACCTAAATCATTATGCTCAGCTTGGTGGGCCCCTGGAGTTAGTGCATTGTCCACAGTAAATGTGCAGCATTTGGCAACTAAATATTAGAATTAGAGCAGGAGGGGAGGGAGCTGGAGGTAGAAGAGGACATAGAAGGGATAAACAGTGATAAGGAAAAAGTTTCTTGCAAAAAAAAATAATTAAATATAGAGCTAAACAACTTTTTTGTGTGTAGAAATGGTGAGACTTTGGGCTAGTATGTTCACTTATATGATTTCCAAGTATGAAGAAGTTCAGGAAACCTTTGCAAGTATGTTTTCTTCTAATTACTTAAAAATCAGAAACTCTGAATTAAAAATGGAAAAGGGAATGTGCCAAAAAGTATTTGATTTGAAATAAATAAGATCCATATGCTTATAGCACTGCACAGAACAAGATGAAATTTTTATGTTTGCTATAGGTCAGTTATTATTTTACTTTTGGGGATTTTATCCAAATATTTTTGGTGTTTTGGTTGGTTTTTTTTTTTTTTTTTTTTTTTTTTTTTTTTTTTTCACAATTGGCAAGATGCAGATCTTGAATCTGTCCTCAGTGCTTTGTTTTTTTCAGCCTTGTCTTTTGGACCAAAATAACAACCACATATTATTTTGCCAGAAATTCAGCATTACCACTAATGTGTTTCTTAACAATTACACAATATTTCTTGGCTGTCATAAAAATTACTCTGCTTAAAAAATATAAAATTAGTATATAAAATGTGTGTAGACACAGACATATAACATACACACACTACATATTTATATATATTCAAGCTAAAAGATGGCTTATGGCAAAATTAGAAGTCTAATTATTTGTATACTTTGAGAAAAAAGATTACATAAAAAACATGTATTTTAATTTTTAAGAGGTGGAGGTTGGGAATATTATGAGTAATGGATAATTTATGTGGGATTTAGGAGTGATAGGTTACAAATACTGTGTATATCTTTTTACATATAAATTAATATATAACAGTGAATTTGAGAGGAAATGTTTAAAATGTGCTTCAACAGATTATCAACTTACTTTCTTGGACTTGAATTATTAGTTCCATAGAAAAGTACTGTGGGAAGGCATTTTTGTATTTATTTCAGAAAGTATAAAATGTCTATAAATTTTCCTGTTTTTAACCAAGAATGAAGGAGAGCTATGAGCATGTGCTTCCTGAGTGGCCGAATTCCAGCTGTGCAGACTGGTCATAGCACTTCTGCCAATCAGAACAGGCCCTTCAGGGAAGCCCTCAGATGCTGAGTCTTGTTTACACGCCTTGTGACTCTGTTTCTCCCCTCCTCTCATGTGCTGTACCACTAGGAAGATTTGGGAGGATGGGGGAGTTTGGGATTGCATGCCTGAGTAAACTGTAGGAAACTAGGATCACAGCCACAACAAACGGTATTACGGGCAGACTTTCAGCTCATCGTTTGCCACAGGTAAGAGAAGTTCTTTTGTTATCTGAGGATAGCTGATCTGCACCCAGTTTCTAGCTTTACTTTGAGACATTATATTTTACTTTCGTTAACAAAACTAGCATGCTAACAGCTAAAGAGGAATGATTAAAAATATGGTTAAAATATGTGTTGTATTTCTGTGACTAAATTTTTAGGATTCAACAATGAAAAACCCTGGTATTTTTATTTAAGGACAATGTAAAACCAAGTTAAATTAAAACAAAAGTTTTAAAAGCGTCAGTGACACTAAGTCAGTGTGTAGAGAAATTGGAGCCAGAAGCATATTAACAGTGTGTGTTTGGGAGGGCATTATATCTAAACAAAATGTTTTCTTGCGAGGCTTCCTCCTTGTTAGTCTTTCAGACAACAGTGTTTTCCTGTGTACTGACTCATTGGTTTAGAAAACATTTCTTAATTATCATGAACCATCAGAAAGAATCGATATATACATTTAACTATGTAAATTTGATTCCTTTTCTTCCCTAATTCTCTCCGGAAGTTTTACAGTACGTTCTCATCATCCTTATGCTGCTCCATCAGCAATAAAATTAAGGGGAACAAAAGAATTCCTGTCTGCTCTTTGTTTTAGGGTTAAATTTTATTATGATAATAAGAACTTAGAAAATACTTTAGAAAACTATATTATGACAACATTGCATCGGATTTTATTGTGGCTTACACTTTACTTTCTACTGTTAGTTTTCCCTTAACACTGATCTTATTTATTTTTGAGCATGTACTGAAAAAAAAAAGTTATTTAGAGTAGAAAAAGATAACCTGTGAGTTTTGTGGTTCTTTCTCTTATATATAATAGTCTTACAGATGATTGATACCATTTTATAGCCTCCCAAAGAGGCACTTTATGAAAACTTTAATCAGTAAGCTTTTGTCTCTTACCCTCAAGCAGGGTTTCTCACCCTTAGCATAGTTGACATTTTGATGAGATGATTCTTTGTTGTAGGGTGCGTTGTAGGAAGTTTAGCAACATCCCTGGTCTGAACCCGTTAGATGCTGGCTGTGACCAAAAAAAAAAAAAAAATGTCTGCCAAATGTTCTCTGGGGGATGGGTTGAGAAATAGCCCCTACTGCCCTAAAGCACATTAGACTTAATTATCTTTCAAACATTGGAATACAACTTGCTCTGGGTGATAGAGAGTTAAGGATGAGGTTGTATTGGTCTTGGTGTATTTGCAGATGTTGCTGTAGCTGACTGCTGATTTTTTCCCCTCCTCATTCTGTTAGAAGTTTTTGCCAACCATGATTCATGGAATAATTTTTTGTAGCTGAGTAATTTGTGGTTTTTCAATTTCCTTACTTTTTTCCGTGGCAAAATTTGTTTTGGTTTTTAGCAAAGTGTTTAAAACAGCAAAGACCTTTGAAATGAAATAATACATGCAATGATATATTTTCAAAGTAGACAATTTTAAACAACCATGGAAACTGTATATGCTTGTCTTTCTCTGTGTCCTTTCTACCTCTTCTGTCAGATAAACCCTCTGAACTCTGATAAACAGTCTTACACATAAGAAGACACAATAACCCTTGAGCAGTTCGTATGAAATGTCATGGTATGGGAGCTGGTATTTAAGAACTTTTCCAGGGCTTCTAAAGAGCATTTTGGCATGTAATCATCTTCTTACTTTACAGATCGCAACGAACGAAATAAACCAGAGCATCGTTCCTCAAGGTATGAACTTAATATATTTAATAATTCTGCATAAATCTTCACCTTCACGTTTGAAAAATATTGTTTGGAAACAATGCGTATATCCCTTTTAAAGTTACTATATATTTGAATTTTCTATGGCATTAAAGATGCTTTACAGGGAAATTTCTCTAAACAAAATCTATACTAATAAAAGGGTAATGTGTAAATTGGTCAGGATGCCCTCCCAGTAATGACCAAACATCACATTGTGTGGGGCAACCAGACCGGCGGGAGGGGGGGAAAAGATGGGGGTAACCAGGCCAGCAGGGGGAGGAAGGGTCAGTTGGGGCCGACCAGGCCAGTGGGAGGTTGGTTGGGGTAACCAGGATGGGGTGGGGTAGTTAGCAGCAATCAGGCTGGCAGACAGAGGTGGTTAGGGGCATCAGGCTGGCAAGGGGGACATTTAGAGGCAATCAGACAGGCAGGTGAGCAGTTATGAGCCAGTCTTGAATTGTGAGAGGGATCCTAGATTGGAGGGGGTACAGTCTGAGCTGAGGAGATGCCCCCCATACATGAATTTTGTGTACTGGGCCTCTAGTCTATAATAATAAAAGTGTAACATGCTAATTAGACTGGATATCCTTCCAGATGAAGCTAAGGTTGTGAGGGAAGCCTGGGTCCCAAATGCCAGCAGCCAGGGGAAGGAAAGCATACTCTTGCATGAATTTTGTGCATCGGGCCTCTAGCATTTTAATAAAAAAATTTCTTTATTGATTAAGGTATTACATATGTGTCCTTACCCCCCCTCCCCATTGTTCCCCAATCCCTCCTCTCATTCATGCCTCACCCCCCTGGTGTCTTTGTCCATTGATTATGATTATATGCATGCATACAAGTCCTTTGGTTATCTCTCCCCCATTCTCCTCCCCTCCCCTGCCTTTCCTCTGAGGTTTCATGGTCTGATCAATGCTTCTCTGTCTCTGGATCTGTTTTTGTTCATCGGTTTATGTTGTTCATTATATTCCACAAATGAGTGAGATTATGGGATATTTATCTTTCTCTGACTGTCTTATTTTGCTTAGCACAGTGGTCGGCAAACTCATTAGTCAACAGAGCCAAATATCAACAGTACAACAATTGAAATTTCTTTTGAGAGCCAAATTTTTTAAACTTAAACTATATAGATAGGTACATTGTTATTAACTTAATTAGGGTACTCCTAAGCTGGCCTTTGCTAAAAACTCAAGGATCCAAAGAGCCGCAGTTTGCTGACCACTGGCTTAGTATAATGCTCTCCAGGTCCATCAATGCTGTTGCAAATAGTAGGAGTTCCTTTTTACAGCAGCATAATATTCCATTGTGTAGATGTACCACACTTTTTTAATTCACTTACCTGCTGATGTCTCAGTAACAATGGATTCTAACACATTGGCTTTTTTTTTTTAATTCATGTAGAAAAAAATAATAGAATCAGCAAGTTATAATTTTATAGTTTTTATTATAATAGTTGATTCAGACAAGAATCATCAGAGGCTCCTAAAACTTGGGCAAAAAGTTGTTGGAGAAATAGATATTCACAATGTCTTACTATATGTTATTCCATTTTTAATTATTAAAGGAGAAATATACTTTTCCAATAAAAATAATTGGTAATCACATTTTTTATCAAGTGGTCAACTATATATCATCATTAGTATGTGATTCCAGATAATGCATCAGCAGTACATGTAGCTAGTACTTGTATAGCTATAGTCTTGGCAAAAAAGAAAAATAATGTCATGAAATATACAAAAAGGCTGGGAAAATATTCAAGATTAAAAACAGACCGAATTTCTTTTTAATCTGGAATTTTAAAATCCAGATTTAAAAGAAAACACTTTGGGGAATAATTAAGAAAATGTTAATGTGAATTTCATTTTGGATAATGGTTTGGGGGGTTTTTTGAGAGTCCATTTTAAAGCTGTGACAGTGAAACAAGGAAGGGCTTAGGATATAAAAAGCAACAGAAAAGAGACTAGACAGGGCTGCTTTGGCTTGCTAGAAACACTATGGGAAAGAAGTGAGCCTTGGCGAGGCTGATGTCAGCTCGCTGGAGAATCAGAGAAAAGAGGGCCTTGGAGACAGGTCGAGGGGGTTAGCTAGAGGAGACTCCTCTGTCCACTGCTTCCCTGGTTGTAAGTTTCCTGGGGACCCTCAGAGTTTAGGAAATGCATGCTTGTTGGAGAAGAGGAGGAAGGGAAAGGTGTGGTCATGTGCCTAGGTGGGAGAGCACCCCAATAGTAGTTTATTAATATTACCTTTTTAGATGTATACTAGGGATGCTGTTATGTGGTAGAATGTTCTTATTTTTAGGAAATATATGCTGAAGTGTTAGGTATGATGTAGTCTTATGTTTGCAACATACTCTCAGATGATTCATGACAACAAAAACACGGTAAGAGGTAAAACAGAGCAAATATGGGAAAATATCAATAATTGGTGATTAGATGAAAAGTCTATGTGTGTTGATTGTACAGTTTCTTTAACTTTTCTGTAGACTTAAAATTTGCAAAATAAAAAGTAGCAGTGGAAGGAACTGTTCTGTGTGTTCCATGAAGTCCCAGAGGGCAGGATGTGAATCTGTGGGTGGAACGTTGGGGGTGTGGATGGCTTTTGTGACATAGCTGGTCAAAGATGGAATGGACCACATGTGAGGAAACACTGTCAAGGAAAAGGTAGACTAGAAAAGGTTCACACATGGCTGCGGCCTTGTGTACAATCCATAGCCAAGAAGTATTTGCTGAGAGGCCCTAATCCAGGCTCAGGATACAAGAGAAAACAAGAAAAGTCTCCAACTTCATGAGCATGGAGCACCCATTGTTTTGGACTTACACTCCCAATCTCAGAGCATGTTTATTCTAAGGTCAATCAAATCTTCATAGTTCTACTTCAGCAGTGTTTTGGTACTCTTGAGTGTATTCAGGAAATATTTTATTTGTTAATCTCTGGTTTATACTGTTAGATTTTTAAGGATCATGCTATTAGTCTTAATTAATAGAGTGCCTAGCTTAATTAATAGAGTGCCTGGTCTAAATAAGCCCCTGTTAAATAAATGTTTGTTGAATAAATGCCAAATGTAGTTCCAACAGAGAAAGGGAAATGCCAATATTTTCCCCTGGCAAATTGGGGAGAACTTGATCCTCAAAAGCTTGCCCATGACTATTGTTGAATGTTTGTAACAGTAACCTCAAGAAGTAATGTCCTGCCCAGCTGGTGTGGGTCAGTGATTGAGTGTTGACTTGTGAACCAGAAGGTCACAGTTCGATTCCCGGTCAGGACACATGCCTGAGATTGTGGGCTTGATACCCAATAGGGCGTTTGCAGGAGACAACTTATCAATGATTCTCTCTCATCATTAATGTTTCTGTCTTTCTCCCTTCTCTGAAATCAATAAAAATATATATTTAAAAAAAAGAAAAAAGAAAAAAGGAGAAATGGGTCCTGGCCACTGTGCCTCAGATCAGTGGGCATTGTCCATACATGTCCAGGTTTGGGGCTCTATCCCTGGTAGGGGGTAAGCAGGAGGCAGCCAATTGAGACAGAAAGGCCATTGTTTCCTGTGAGATTGGCAGTGATCTGTTCTTCTCTTGCCATCCTCAGCTGAGCAGGGATACCCCGCCGGCCAGCAATGCATCAAGCAGATTAATACCTGCTGCATCAACAGAGCAAAAAGAAGATATAAACAAAAAGTCGTTTAATTTTCATATGTTTGTTGGTTCTCTTTAGGCCACTTGGCAGCAAGAATGATAGATTCAGGGCCCAGCAAGGATAAGAAAAATGCATTTTTTTTCTTCATAAGAACAAACACTTCTATATCCTTGTCAGTGAGAGATTGATAAATCTGGGACATCTGCCTGTTCTCTCATTTTGGTGCTGAAATAAGAAGGAAAGTATAACTCTTACCACGTTAAAGAAAAGTTTTATGAGGTATTGTGCAGTGCTAAGAACCCAAGCTAAAAAAACAATGCTTAGCGTTTTTTTAAGTCTTATAGTGTGCTTTTTCTTCTGATGCTGGCATTTTTAAATTTTGCTTTTTGCTGATTGACCAATGTGCAAATCAGGAATATCTGAACTCATCTTTTTCTTATTTGTTTAAACATATCATTTCCAAAATTAATGTCCCATGGAACATTTTTCTGTAGGATATTAATATGCAAGAAATAAAAATGCATAAAAATGTTTGTGAAATGGTGAGTTAAAACAAAATTGGAGACATTTCTTTACTCTGATTCCACTAAGAGTCTTTGATATACTAAAGTACATTATAAAACTCAAAATTAGAGATTTACTATACAGAATTTAAACTTTTTGTTTGAATTTGTTAACTTCCTTTGACAGACGCAGCTATTAACAACATCTTGAAAAATGTACTATGGAATGGCAGTTTGGTAAACTAATCCAGAAAGAAGTAAGAGCTAAAGATAATAGAGAAAGTGAGGATTGGTGACAAAAATGGAAAATTAGGAGCTTTTTTTTTTTTTTTTATCACTTCACTAACTCTGAATAATAGATCCCAAATACTTATTCAGGTTGCAAAACCAGCTATTTTGCTTAAACGTTTTACCTACTAAAAGGAAATAATTTACAGCAGTGACAAAAAGGCAGCAAAACAGAGAATTCCAAATAGAAAAGTATAAAATGAATTTAGGAAATTGATTACCAAAGGAATGAGTCAGTGGAGAATCCATAGGGACTTAAAGTGTATCTAAACTGATTTATTTCTTAAACTAAGTAATGGGCTTTGTAATATTATCTATACTTCTTTAAAAACTCTGAAAATTTTCATGATTAATTAAAAAGGCCTTCAAGAAGATCCTGAATCATGTGGCATCAATAAAGAAGCTTTTATAGGACATGGGAATAAAATTTAGTGAAATTCCTTGATCATTTTTGAAAGAGAAAATAAAAAGTAGGAAGTCAAGAATGTTTAGAAAAAACATGATTAAACTGTTCCCATTTCACCTCTCTTCATAGTGTCACTCCTATAGTCCCCTTTACTA